CAAAAAAAAAAAAAAAAAAAAAAAAAAAAAAAAAACCCTAAAAGGAAATAACCCATTTCCTCTGCAAAATCATCCTCCGCCACTAGCTCCGCCACACCGGCGCTTTCCTGCGACTCGGAGCCCCAACCGGGAACCTGGGAAGTTGAGCGGGACCAGCCGTCAGGCGCTGACAGCTCGGACGCTCAAGGTGCAGGACCCGCGCTCCTGGCTTCCCAATGCGGGGTCACGGTGGCTGCCCCGGCAGTGTGTGCCGGCTGGGGTTGGGGGGTGGCGGGGGCCAGGGATTCCCATTTGCCCTGGCGCTGCCTCAGTGGCCGGCCTGCGCGCGCGCGCGAGCCCGGGCAGGGAAGGTACCTCTGACATTTCGCTCTTGTGACGCGCGGGCAACTTCATGCGGAAAATCCACGCGGGGGTGAGCGGGCGCCCCCCGCTCGCTCGATGGCCTGAAGCCCCGACTCCGGGACAGGGGTGCACTCCAAACCAAGCCTGCCTCTAGCTGTTCCCCGGACCCCAACTGCCAGGGCCACAGACATTCAACTCTCAGCTGCCCGCACTGGCTTAAGAGCGCGTCATCCCGGTGGCCTTGGGTATTCCCAACTGTCAGAGAATATTTTTCAGAATAACCTCTCCAAAATGTTGAGATGTTAAGTGGTCTTCTCCCTCCCGCCGTCCCTCCCATCCCCACCCCACCAGCCCCCCAGCCCCCCAAAAAGCTCCCAACACAGATAAAAAAAAAAAAAACCCAACCCATCCCACAATCAAACTTTTAAACATGTAAAATAATAAAACCAACTCACCAAGTTAGAAGGGAAGAGAATAAACCCCAAAAGGCTCCCAATAAGGCGGAGGCTTGGCCTCCCCCTCCTTATAAGCCGCTCGGTAACATGAGAAAGGTTTAACCCCTTAGGGCGTGGGCCCGAGCCTACCGCAAACCGGCTCCGGCGGGTGAGCACCGGGCGCCCGGCCCCGCAGCGCCCCGGCCCCCCACCCACGGCCGCGCCTCGGACACCCCGGCCACACCCTCCCCCCGCCCCCCACCCCGGCCGCCTGCGCCCGGGCCCTGCGTGCGGCTGCCCGCGCCCCGGCCCCGCGTCGCTGCCTATCCCTTATCCTATACCGGCTGCAGCCGGTCTCCGCCGGCCTCGGGGGCGCGCCGCCGCCGACCATGTGCTGCGAGCGCCGAGCGCCGCCAAGGAGGGGGCCGGACTGGCGCGCGCGCGCCGGCCCACGTGGACCGGGGCCGCGCCGGGCGCGCGCCCGCCCCGGGCCCGGGCTGGGGGTCACGGAAGGTAACGGCGTCGCCGTCTGGGGCCAACGGCGGGGTCCCGCGGGGCCACCCCGCCCCTGCCGCCGGGGTCCTTGGCACGCGGCCCTGCTCCACCCCCTCCCCAACAACACCCGGGCGCGGCCGTGCGCGCCTGCCCAGCGGGACCCCGGCGCTTTGCTGCACCGCAAGCGGGGAGCGCGGGCGTGCTCGGGACGCCTGCACCTCTCCTCCGGCGCCCCCGGCCGGGCGCGCGCGGGGTCCCGGGGCGCCCACCGCCGAATATCCCCGGAGGATTTGGGGATCGGTTGGGGGTGCGGGGGCTAAGCCCGCGCGGCGCTCGCGGCTGCGGCGGCTCCGCGCCAGCCCCGAGCAGAACAGGTTCCTTCCAGTTTGGGTGTGAGCCGCGCGCGCGGCGCCGCGCACCCCGAGTTCCTCCTCCGGCGCCCACTTCCCCCAATTTCGTCAACTCGCGCACGGTTCTCTTTGGGGGGGAAGGGAGGGAAGGAGGGAGTGCCGCAGTGGGCTCCCGAGAGCTAGCGGCCCGGCTGCCACGAGTGCCTAGCTTTCCGCGTTTTGCAGCGGCGGCGGCAGCACCAACGGCATCCGCGTTGCGCGAAAGGGATGTGAGCAGCCGGGCTGAGTCAGCATCCCCGGGTCGGGGCGCGCGCGCATCCTCCCTGCCAGGCGGCTGGCGACGTGCACACAGGTGCAAGGCCGCCGAGTCTGCTGGGAGACCCCGGTTCTGGCAGGGACCCGGACGTTCAGTGGGTACGTGCCCCTCATCCCGAAGACCCCAACCCCAAGGTCACCGTAAACTCGGCAGATGATGCGCGGGAAACCAGTTACGAGCTTGTCATGGGGACAAAGCAGTGTGTATCTCAGGCATTTCGGAGTCCGCGGGGGCCGCAGACTTGGCTTCCTGGTCTCCACCTCACCTTCCCAGGCCCAACTGGAGACCTGCTCGGAAGCAAAGGCTTACCGTCCGCATTTCCGTGCCGACTTTGGTACGGGCAGCTCCCTCCATTGGGGTTTGAGAATGTGGTTCTGATGTCAGAAACTCAAGAGAGCCTACTTTGGGGGCGCGTGCACTCGGGGGCGCCACCGCGAGGAGTCAGGGATTTGAGTTTTAATAAAAATCCCTTAGCAGTCGGTGCCCGATTTATCTCCTGATTTGGGGATAGGGTCTACTACGTTAAATGCCATTCTGTACGGTTACAGAAAGGGAAACCCCTAACCTTGTGGAAAGATAGCATAAGTTCTTGGAGCGTCAATTTCCAAAATCTATAAAACGGGGTCGATTAGTGGTATTCGCAGGACTGAGGAGTTTAATTTATGATTCCCATAAAGTGTGGATCAAAGTGACTGGCCTCTGGTGAGCCCATGATTGTTACTGTTTATGGCTTATCAAGTCTGATTGCGCACTCCAGTATACCAAGCGATCCGTTTTTCGAGTTGTTCAAAGAATCCACACGTGATGATGTTTAAAAGCTGATTTTAATCATTAAAATGAACATTTTAATCACTAAACTGTAATGTCCTTACAGTGTATTAGGTAGGACCTGTCACTGTTCTTAGTATGGAATTGTCATTTTCAACAGGGCAGAGCATTTACTGATTGGGTCTTGGGGAGCTATGGAGGGAGCCCATTATTTATAACCAAGGGGTTCTGATTAAGTCCAGAAAGCTCCTGGTGCTTTGGTTTCTTGAGTTAAAAAATTAGGCAGTGGGATTCTCTCTCTCTCTCTCTCTCTCTGTCCCTCCCCTGCTTGCTCTGAGAGAGAGAGAGAGTGGGGGGAGGGACAGAGAGAGGGAGAGAGAGAATCCTAAGGAGGCTTCACACTGATAGTGCATAGCCCGATGCAGGCTCGAACTCGTGAACCATGAGATCATGACCTGAGCCAAAGTCAGACACTTAACCAACTGGGCCACCAGGTGCCCCTCAAAATAAAGAACATTTAAAAATTAGATTAAAACATTAGGCAAATCATACCAAAAGGTCTAGTTATGAAGGAATGATTGAGAAACTCACATCTGAGTGTTTGACCAGAGTAAATGCACCTACTGTTGGAGAGGTGTAACTGTAATGATAACAGTAACAACCACGGTAATACATTACTGTTATTTTACTAGTATTAGTTAGACCTGTTACTAATTTTTTTTTAGCACGTTTGCTTTGTCCCCAGCACTGTATTAAGCGCCATACATGGGATCTGACTTTAACCCCATCAGTAACACTCTGCAGTTGACCCTTAACTATCCCCATTTTACAGATGAGAAAAGTTGAGGCACACAGCACTGGAGGGACTCACCCGAGGGTTCACAACATCTACAGGCACACGCTGGCCCATTTCTGCAGCCATAGCTCATCCGAAGATATTTGCCACCTGCATGTGGGTAACCGAGAAGGGGAGCTGGACACCCAGTCAATGTCCAGTCTTGCCGGGCACAAAGCAGTGACTTTTGCGTGCCCTGGTTAGAGGCTGGCTTCACCTTGTTTCCTGTCCTAGTGAGACCAAGCGTGAAAACCCTTGCTTTCTTTTTTCCCCCACTCTTCCAGGGATAGCGAAGAGAGGGGAGCACTGCATTGCCATGCTAATCAACCCCCCACCCCTAACAAAACTAACCCTGTTTGGTTCTAAATACGAACAAAAGAACCCTTGGAGTCTGGAGTACGGAACCAGAAAAATCAGAGGGTTCAGCTCCCCTTTTAGCCTCTTCTGCTGAGTCTGCCGTAAGCCCAGGAGCAACAGAGCCCCTCGGGTCCTTCCCTTACGGAGGGCAAGGCCGCGATGACGCCCTTTAAAAAGTCCCGCAACATCTTTTGGGGGAAATAAATTGGCCCCTGAGTCTCTCCCCTGTGCTCTCTCTTTCTAGCCATCTTGCTTAGGGTCATTTGCATGAGAACAGATTCCTTTGTGCAGAGTTGGCCAGCCGGTTCTCTGTCCACGTTTAGAGCCCTTCTAGTCTTCACGGTGGGTTGCTAGGCAGATATGACCCTGGCTTGCAAATAAGCTCACTGCATTTACCAGCCCGTGAGAACTTAAACTTGGGTAAGTAGATTGAAAGGAATCTTGTCTGGAGCTCAGGGAGGAGCAGCCTGTTTTTAAGGGCTGGGTCTTCAGAGCAGCCAATGAAGAGGGGGAGCCTTTGAGGGGGGTGCTGGGGGGGGTCTTGGTCGCCCACCCATCCAGTCTCCCTCTTCCTGTCTCTGCACCACCCACCACCCCATTATCTCACCTGAGGGCCTGTGCTGGCAGGAGGGGCGGGGGGGGGGCAGGGAGGGGAACCCATGTGTGTTTGACTGAAGCAAATTCTCGCTTTAAAACCTCACTGCTTCTGCAGACAGCAGAGAACCCCACAAACTTCCCTGTAGGAATTCCAGGTAGATGTGTTGGGTTTATTAATGGTTTGAAGGGAAGGCAGGGATGGGAATGTGCGCTCCTGAGGGGATTTGAAGATTTGCCAAGGGGCCCGAGGCCCGGATAGTTTTCCTGCCATCAGCGTTCAGAACATGAGCTCTTTCCTAAAGCCCTCTTGTCTGAGAGGCCACCGAGGGGCAGGCCTGGTGCCCCATTAGTCTTGTGCGGCTGGCTTTTCCTTCATAACCAGAGCCAGGATCTCACTAGGGTGCACTGGGCGGGCTGAGGACGCCTCTGGGGTGAATATTGAAATATTCAGGGAAGACTCTCTTCAGGTCAGTATGTCACATCCCCCAGTCCATTGTATAAAGATGCTTTTGCAATAGCAATACCTTGTCCAAATGTACAATGTGTGTGTGTTGTTATAAATTATCACTTCTAGGAGTTAAGTGTGATCATCATTTGACCCAGAAGAGATTTCTTTTTTTTTTTTTTACACTTGGGACATTTATACCTAAAGTCTGTCTTCAGAGAAATATAAGGTAATTAAGTACTTTTGAATCTATAAGTATATTGTGTTGACATAGAATGGAAATACAGTTTTGAAAAAAAGGCAAAGAGAAATGATAGAAAATTTCTGACCTCATGAGAAATTTCTCATGTTCTCATGTCATTTTTATACTTTTAAGAAGTTTACTTATTCTGAGAGAGAGAGAGAAAGAGAGACAGAGAGGATCCCAAGCAGGTCCATGCAGAACCCAACATGGGGCTCAAACTCATGAAACTGTGAGATCATGACCTGAGCCGAAATCAAGAGTCAGATACTTACTTACTCAGATACTGACTGAGCCACCAGGTGCCCCATTCAACTCGTGTAATTTTTGAATGAATGGTGATGGTTTTCATATGACTCTGACGTTTGCATTACACTGGATACATTGAAAAAGAGTGGCTTAAAATAGTTTTACTGGAAAAGTCAACATTTACAGGTATAACTGAAACAATATCTTTGGCAACTCTGATGAAACATTGAACGGAACTTAAAAACGCCCTGAGGCTGGTATGGACTGAATGTGTGTGTGCCCCCTGCGGCCCTTAAATTCCTAAAGTGAAGGCCTAATCTCCCATGCGATCGTATTTGGAGTTGGGCCTTTGGGAGGAATTCGGTTTAGACGGGGTTGTGACGTGACCGTGGGTCTTCATGGTGGGATTAGTACCCTTCCAAGAGGGAGAGAAAAAGGCCTTGTGGGGACCCGGTGAGAAGGCAGCTGTCTGCAAGCCAGGAAGAGAGCCCTCACCCCACCTTGCCGCCATCTTGATCCCAAAGTCCCAGCCGCCGGAACTAGAAAACACATTTCTAGGGTTTAAACCACCCAGTCTGCGGTACTTTGTTACGGCGGCCCGAGCTGACGGATAGCAAGGGGATTTATTGTTTTCCCAAATTCTTAGAGGGTACCCAAGCAAAAGGATTTGCAGGCCACTGAGTATGTTCTATGTGATGAAGACAAGGAAGATGTGGTCTCTGCCCTCATGGATCATCAAGTTCTCCCTGAGGAGATAAAGCACACCCGAAAAGTCACTGTCACGAGCCCTGAGAGGCCAGGTACGGGCTGTATAACGAAGCACAGGCGTAAGATGTACGTTGGTGTGGGCTCTGGAGCCTGACCTTGAACCTCAGCTCTGTTCTCACTAGCTGTGTCACCTTGCTGGGCAAATTACTTAACCTCTGTCAACCTCAGCCTGCTTATCTGTGAAGGGAGGGGGTAACAATATTACTGCATAGGGGGGCTTGTCGTGTGGGGGGCTTAGTGCTGTGAAGCTGGGTTAACTGAGGTACCGTGTGTAAGGGGCTTAGCAGCTTAGTGCTGTGTCTGGCTCACGAGGAGTTTCCCTAACTCTTGGTGGGAGACCAGAGAGGCCTAGAACCAGGAAAGACCTTATAAGGACTGGCAAGGGGGAGGGAGGAGGAGGGGTAAGCAGCAGGAGGTGCTGGGCTTAGGGACAGGAAGGTCACCTCCCCACCCATGGCCTCTGGTGATCTGACCTCCATCATGCTTGCTTACCATTCAATGCAGGGTTGATGATGTATCACTGGGTGCATCTCTTTAACTCCGGAGTGAGTTTTACTTGACTTCAACACTGATATTCATCCGTAGCCTCCTCTGTCTTGATAGTTTCTGACTCCTACAGTTTTGTCACTCTCTCAAAACTGCCTCAAGCCTGTTGTAAGAGTACCAAACCCAAAACAGAAAATCAGAATTGCCGGAGCAAAGAGATTTTCAACATCCCATCGCTTTCGGGAATAAAGCCGTGCCCTGTTAAAAAGTTGAAGACATTTGTCGGTCACAAAATCTAATCGGCTGTGTTGGAAAGTGTGTGGGACCCCTGGGCTTGGCCCCGATTATATCAGGCTTTGTCTGGGTGATTGTTGAGGGTGCCCCACCCATCACGTTGCTCAAGGCCAAGGATTAAAAACCTGCTCTCCTGCTATGTTTTGGCCTAAAGGGAGATGCTGGCTCTCCCCCCTTCTTGTCTAAACATGCATGGCCTGTCCCGCTGCTCTGGGAACTAAACACAGCAGAGTTAAGCTTTGATTTTAACCCTTCATGAGCTGTGCATCCACTCGTTTCCAGATGGCTAGGGGGTGGGGGATGGAAGCTAGGAGGCTGCTCCAGGCTGTGTTATGGACGGGAGGCCAGGAGGGGACCCTGGCCGTGGTTGTGGTCGGTGGAGGGCTCTGACCCTCCTGAGGGGAGCCCACACGCATAGTCGGGGTCCATGGCGTGGCTGGGGACTGGGAAGGTCCATCCTACCTTCCCACAGCCATCATCTCCCCATCCAGGCAGCCTCTGCTCATTACAGCCTACGCACGAGCCCTGATGAATGCAGTTGTTTCCTGGGCCACAGAACCACACCCCAGAGAATGTGGTCCCTCCTCTCCGAGTGTTTACTGTCTAGTTCAGAAGACAGGACACACGTGTGATTGTTACCTAAAGCAGGATTTCAACAAGTGCGCTTTTATGAGGGAGGACCTCAGAGGAAGGGGAACTCAGAAAGGCCATCTGAGGTTAGGGAAGTGATGAGACGGAGCTGAGCTTTCCGGGCGGGACAGAGCAGGCTTGGCCACAGTTGGTCTTGTTAGACGCATTCATCCAGCCAGAACTGATTGAACTTCTTCTGGGCCAGGTACCATGATCGTGCAGTGCGTAAAACACAAAGATATTCCTGCCCTTATGCACCTTACGGTCTAGACTCGTGGCTTTTCTGGCTGGAGCACCAAGCCCAGGGTCTGGGGCAAATCATTCATGTGGACGATTCTGATATTAACATGTAACTCGCACTTGCCAACTCCCTACTGGCATCCAAGGGGAGATTTCCCTCACATCCACTCTGCATTTCAGCTTGACCTCCTACTGTTTAGACTGTCTAAAACCAGATTTGCTGGTAGGTAGGGGTGTTCCAGAGACCATGCCAACTGTCGCCAGAGTCTGCCCAGGCTCAGGGACCTGGCTCAGGTTTAGCCAAAATGGCACAGACAACCATGGGATTGTGTGACAAGGAACTGGAGTTTGGAGCTTTGAATGCACAGACCAGTAGGACTCGTCAGTTTCCCTTTGACGTTGCTTGTGACCGTGGTGTTTGTGGCTCCAGGATCTCCCAGCAGAGCGAGCTGGCAAATGGTTATGACAAAGACAGCCAATAGCTGCGGGGAGTCCGGATTTCACCATCGGCACTCGGAATAGTTTTGCTTAATATTAATTTTAAAAACGCTTTGGGCTTGTATCGTACTTTTCCAGAGTGTTCGCATATTTGCTCTCTTTATCCTCAACCCAGCAGAGAGACAGAATAACAATAGCCAATGGTTCTGAGCTGAGAGCAGGCCCCTGTGTTAGATTATTTCATCCTCATGTCGTGTTTGAGGTGAAAAAAGTTTACCGTGGCTCCGTTTCTCAGTAAGTGGGTAAACTGAGGCAAGGAATTTATTTTATTTTATTTTTTATTTATTTATTTGTTTTTGGTACTTACCCAAG